TTTAGACCGGTATCTGTCCCTTTATCAGCCACCATAGGAATTTCTCTTTTGACTTTTTTGAAGTTTCCTTTTCTTTGACTTTCCAGGTTGAGTATTTATTCTTCTGTAGGTGGGTTAGTGCCTATCAGTGTCATTTCCCCTTGCTCTCTCACATTTTCAGCTTCTGTCAGACTTGTGCCTCTTAAACGTGACCAAGTTGTTGTGTGTCTATTCATGAGGTTTTGCTAAATGTTGTTCTGGACAGTGGAGTGTGAGCTACAGAGAACACTAGTGTGTTGCATCCTAACTATCTTACATGGATTCTTCTGGCATGCATTAAGAGTTCTTGGTGTACATTGAAATAGCCCTGTTTGAAATTGATTTACATGAATGTGCACTAGCAAGCTCTACACAGAGGGAATTGGAGCTCAATACTAGGAATGATAGATATTGGGTAATTGAATACTCAAGTAACCACATGAATTTTTATTGGTTACTTGACTATTCTATAGCCCCAGGGAGTGGGGCCAGCAGCCAGTGCACTCCGACCCCACTCCCGGGGAGCACCCTGCAGAAGCAGCAGCATGGGGTGCCAGGTGGAAGCCAGTCCACGAGGGGAGCCAGTTTAAAAATCAGCTCCCCGAAAGGCCAGCTGCCTGCCATTCCGTGCTGCTCCTCTGATACAGAGGCAATAGAGTGGAGTGGCAGCAGCCCCAGTCCAGGGTGGGTCTAAGCTCCCTATGGACAGAGGCTGCTACAAAGCGGCCTCTGTCTGCAGTGGCCTGGGTTGGCCACAGACACAGGCTGGTCCGGCAGCAGCCCGTCTGTGGCGGGTGGGGGTCCAATCTTCCCTTGGACAGAGGCTGCTCTGCCTCCCATGGAGCAGAGGCCGCTTTTAAACTGGCTCCCTCCAGCACCAGTCCTGCTTCTCCCAGTCCCCTTTTGCTGCCTCTGATACAGAGGCAGAAAGGGGGGAGAAGAGAAAAAGTGTGTAGTTGACTAGCCTAGGATTATCAGTTAACCGTATAGTTGACTATATGTCGACATTCCTACTCAACACACTGGTGTGCTCTACAAATCCCATCCCCTTATTGCAGATCGAGATCTTGTGAACAATTCCAAAGAATCCTGGGCAGTTCACAGAAGTGATGTCATACATTTGAGGATAACATATTTAGATGCATACCCTTTAGTACTATGTCTTGTATGTGAGTATGTAGTCACTGTGTGTGTGATATAGTCACACATTTGAACAGATCTGAATTTTTCCTTTGTAGAAGATAGTGGTATAATAGCTTAGACATAGTTTTTCTGTAGTGCCATAAGAACGGCCATGCTGGCTCAGACCAACGGTCCATCTAGCTTTGTACCCTGTTTTGTGACAGTGGCAAATGCCAGATACTTCAGAGGGAATGAACAAAACAGGCAATCAAGTGATCCATCCACTGTTGCCCATTCCCAGCTTCTGGAAAACAGAGCTAAGGAAACATCTCTGCCCATTTGGCTAATAGCCACTGATGGACCTATCTTCCATGAATCTATTTAGTTCTTTTTTGAACATTGTTAGTATCTTGGCCTTCAACATCCTCTGACAAAGGGTTTCAAAGGCTGACAGTGTGTTGTGTGAAGAAATACTTCCTTTTGTTTGTATATCAATGTGTTACTTTATCATGCATTACTTTAAATCATGCCTTTAACCCATGGACTTTATTAATTGACACAATGCTTCTCTGTGACAGATATTTTACTCTCCAAAGGAATTAAGCTATTACTTGGATAAAATGCAGTTGTGATGATAGTGTGCAAGTATGCACTAGGTGAAGTGAAGACTGATATCCATATGAAATGGGAGAATTTAGATATGCAGAAGCTAATTATCCACACTATCCACACTGAACTCTGAGGATGGAATTTAGGGTTATTACCATTTAGAAAGCAAATAACAGTTCTTTCTTCTGGCAAAAAAATTTCTCTTGATCAGATATGATTAAGAATAGAAAGGCTGCATGATTCCAGGTGGCATAAGACATTTCTTCATCATGTGAAAGGTTGGTTGGTTGGTTGGTTGGTTCTTTTTTGGAATGGCCATAAATACCATCTATTTATTAATTATTTTAACTTGCACTGTACAATAAATTATTTAGTAAATACAATACTAGTACATTTTTATGAAATCAATAGAATTTAAATGGAATAGGCTAGGTAATTCCCTTCCATTCTGTGAATAAATGTGGTTGGAGGAGGTGTGCATCTTTGTCATGTCTTTCTCTACTTTTCTCAAACTCAGTGGAAGCCTTTCTATAAGATTACAGTTCTTTGGTTTGGGAAGGGACAGAGAGTGGATGGATTGTTTCTGTCATGCTACCACTTACTTCGCTCTCTCAACTCCAGGGCAGATGCCTCAGTTGGGTAATTTGGATCTATTTAGTATTCATTTAACTTGCATAGTATTGTCCAGTATCTAGAGAAATGAAGCGATGGGAGCACATCCTTGAACTACAAGGAGGATACCTTTAAGAAGGTGAACCGCTTGACACTTATTCCATAGGGTCTCAGGGAAGTTAACCCCATTTCTGCCTCCCTTAATCCCCACTCCTGAGAGAACTCAATGGCAACTCTCCAAGTAGGAGATCAGGAACTAGAAATTAACCTTCTGCATTTTTTCCTATGTAATGAATTTTACTGGTTCAAGGCTAAGATGATGATGTGAAGACAGGGTTAAGAGTTTCATAACTGTTCTGAGTAACTATGGAATGCTTGTTTTTGATCTCTGACAAGGGAGACTTGATAACCAACAGTCTTGAAGGAGGTGGTAGGCTTCAGCATTTTAGAATTTTGATACTTAATGAGGTTGACTGGAATTGCATTGTGTGGAAAAAAAAATCACGTGAGTATGGTCCTTCTGTAATTTAAAGTGTAGTTCTACCCTGAAAAGTTAATGGATAAGTTTGGCAGCATAGGGTTTCATGTTTGCTGTCTCAGTGATCCTTGATCAATTGCGCTCAGTTTGCAAGTCAGATGGGTTTTTTGTGTATAATTGACATTCCTGCAAATTCACTTCGGGATATGAGATTCTTTAATACATCACTACTAATAGAGATTTGTCACCTCTGGAACCATGTTGTTTTCGGTTGAATTGCACAGGTGTATTAGAAATATAGCTCTTCTCTTTCAGCTGTTTTGGTTGTGCAGGGCTAACAAAAAATAAAAAATGATATAAACTTTAGGGATGTAAAATCCCATTTAAATGATTAACCAGTTAAACTAATTAAATGGGGGGGGAAGCAGGGTAGGGAGGCTGGGGCAGCCCCCCTTCCCGCGGTGCACCCAGGCCAGGCCCGTGGCAGGCCCCTTGGGGCTGAAGCAGCACCTTTATTGCAGCGGGTTGGGGGCTGCTCCAGCCCTCATTGGTTAGTCAGTTAACTGGTTAACCTTTTGTATCACTAATACATTTGTTTTGACTACAATAAGAAAGTATGTCTTTGGCTAAACACACAGCCCTGAATAAGAAGGTGCCAATTTTATATAGTAATTTTTTCAAGGTATATGAAAGGGTGATGGGAAAAGCTAAAGAATGAAAATGGCCAAAACCAACATCTTTTGTTTATCAATCTAAGTGCTTGTATATGGCTCCATCCCCATTGTATATGAACCACTGACAAACACTGATTATAAATATTATTTTCCTCATTTTACATATGAGGAGTTGAGACACAGATATTAAAGATACGAACGACAAACATGAAGTCAGGGACAGAGTTGCAAATTGAAACCAGATAACCAGTTCAATGTTTAATCACAAAGCCATCCTCTGATTTGAAATGAATACAAATATCTGGAAATATGTAGTACAGATAAATCTTTTCACATGAAGGAAGGGTATCATATTGTCTTTCTGATATCTATACTTTATAATAACAGTATGCATATCAAAGTCCAGAAATGAATGTTACATATATAACGGGGGATAGTTTTGCTTTTTTGAATCATGAATTACTCGTATTCCTAGTAATAGGAGTTGTATACAAGAACATAAGAATGGCCATACTGGGTCAGACCAAAGGTCCATCTAGCCCAGTAGCCTGTCTGCCGACACTGGCCAGTGCCAAGTGTCCCGGAGTGGGTGGACCAAAGACAATGATCAAGCAATTTGTCTTGTGCCATCCATCTCCAGCCTCTGACAAACAAGAGGCCAGGGACACCATTCCTACCCCTTGGCTAATAGCCTTTTATGTACCTAACTTCCATGAATGTATCTAGCTTCTCTTTAAACTCTGTTATAGTTCTAGCCTTATAGTATACCATTAATCTCTTCTCTCCCATCTCTCAAGGATGTCATGCCTCCGTTAGAGAACAGATTTTTTGATACAAAGAAACAACATAGTGTTTTTTTAAAAAAAATTAAAATCCTATTTACAAAAATGTGTGTGGGTATACATACTATACATTGAAATGGTAGAATGCCTGTTAGTTACTTTACACTTGCATACTTTACAACATACTATTTTCAGTTGCTTGTAAGTTTGTCAAACTTTTTGCTTCAGGCTGAAATTGTCCATAGTAGGTTTGTGCCTCAGGGTGGTCTTTTTGTTTTGTTTTTTTTAATCTCAGTCAAAATGATTTAGCTGTTTCTAAGAATAAGGCTAGGGAAAATATTTTGTCTGTAGAATTCTAGCAGCATATATAAAAACACTTGGCATCCAGCAGTTGTGAAGTATGGACTTGAAGTTCCCCAAGGCAGTGGTCTCTGTTATGCATGTGCCTTTTGCCATCCCTGAGAAAATCCTCCTAAATTTGGACATTTTAGAAGTATTTGAAAAATCACAATTCACACATTGCCAATAGAGATCCCAAATCTCCAAGATCTTATACTTGGTGAGCATGCCAGATAGCGCCAGGCAAGAGTTTCAACCTGTAATTTGTGTGCTTTACACACACCGTGCTTTTATCAGTTTGAGGAAGAGTCATCATATTTAAGATGAAGATTAGATATTATTGGTTCTACAGTGTTGCAACTCACATCTCTTGGGGATAGCCTTGGTCCTGACTTTGGCAAATCTGATGGCTACATGAAAAGCTCTGTTGTGTCAGGAAAGCAAAATCCTAGATGGAGACAGTTTCCCCCTCACAATGCCTTGTAGGTGAGTGAAACCGTAAGCTCAGATCAAAAGTTTTTTTTTTTAATTCCTTTGTATCCATTGACAGCTGTTTTATGCTTCTGTTCACTTTATATCTCTTTTTATGAACCAAGGTCTCATAATGCTACTTTGAAAGGGAAGTGATCCATATAAAAGTGGTGTGTATCTGATATATACATGCGATACATTGCAGAGTACAATAATCAATTCATTTATTTGTCATCTTTGACCTATTTCCTTGCTGTCTTGTCCCTATAGGACTCATTTATTCTAAACACCCGTACAGCTTTCAAATACATTTTAAAAAAATTCATTATTACAGAAAATGTTTTCTGCTTTCTCCCAAGATGTAGAGGTTTCACCTCAAACTTATAGCAGCTTGAGGCAATATGACGCACAAAATCAGAAAATTGGAGCCTTATGTTGTCAGGAAGATTTTTAGTTTTGAAATTGACTAAACTACAAAATTCTGAGATTCTGAGCTTTAAAGCTGGGACACTTACATATAGAGAAATCACATTACAGTAAAACTCCATTGGTCCAGCATCCAATGCTCTGGCACTCCTGATGGTCCGGCACCATCAGGAACCCGGAAGTGCTCCGGACAATTGGAGCTGCTCTGCGCCCGGCTTCCCCGATTCAGCCGCTGCTGAAACTGACCAGCAACTGAATCGGAGCAGCTGGGGTGCTGCCAGGTTGG